ACATCTTTGCCGTTACACAGTACTTGTACTTTTACTTGTACTTTCAATACTGGAGTAGCAAATTAAAAATAAAAATTCTACTTTCAATACAATTTTTTTCCCCGTACTTCCACTTAAGTATGGAGTTGAAAGAACATTTTGTACTTTTACTCAAGTCCATTTCTTTCTATAGTACTTCTACTCCACTCCTCTACTCCAGGACTTTATACATCTCTGCCGTTACATTATTGCATAAAGGCTCAGCCTTTCACACGTTTGAAATAACGTTTGACAGAGTTTTTTTAATATACGCAGTACTTGTACTTGTACTTTAGCAATTTGTGAAATACTTCTACTTGCAATACTTAAGTACAAAAAAAACGGAGTACTTCCGGACTTCCACTTAAGTCTGGAGTTGAAGAATACTTCTACTCTTACTCAAGTCCATTTTTTATATAGTACTTCTACTTCTACTCCACCCCTCTACTCCAGTACTTTATACATCTTTGCCGTTACATTATTGCATAAAGGCTCAGCCTTTCACATGTTTGAAATAACGTTTTGACAGCTTTTTTTTTGTATATACACAGTACTTGTACTTTTACTTGTACTTTCAATACTGGAGTAGCAAATTAAAAATAATAAATTCTACTTTCAATACAATGTTTTTTTCCCGTACTTCCACTTAAGTATGGAGTTGAAAGAACATTTCTACTTTTACACAAGTCCATTTTTTTCTATAGTACTTCTACTTCTACTCCTTTACTCCAGTCCATTTCTTTCTATAGTACTTGTACTTCTACTCCTCTACTCCGGTACTATCCCTGGAGCCCGGTGGTACTTACTGGCTGACAGGCCTCCGGCCGATGGGCTGCTGAGGGTCTCGGGGGGGCCTGAGTGTGAGTCTGGGGGCTTCCTGCTCGCCCCACAGACCACGGGGAGCAGAAACGGGGAGAACGACTGCACTAGGGAGGGCTGCAGGCTGGGGAACGCTAGGCTACGCACTAATCAGCCGTATGTGGACGGGGGGGGGAGAAAAAGGCTGAGATGATTCAGAGCTAAACCGAAAATAACCAATATAACACATAAAGGAACCAAGAACTGTCATAAAACGAGCACAAAGGGGCTGAAATGAACCAGAAACATCCCGATTTTGCTTGAGAAAGTTAGAGAAAAACCACCGGAGAAGAAGTTTAAGCTGATTCTGAGGGGAAAAAGAGCCTTTAGCTGCTAGTTTTAATATTAGAGTAATATTAAAGAGAAAAAGGCTGAGATGATTCCACCGACTAACCAATAACCAATATTACACATAAAGGAACCAAGAACTGTCATAAAACGAGCACAAAGGGGCTGAAATGAACCAGAAACATCCCGATTTTGTTTGAGAAAAACCACCAGAGAAGAACTTTAAGCTGATTCTGAGAGGAAAAGGAGCCTTTAGCTGCTTCTTTTTGGGCTTTAACTCAGAAAGAAAGAAATAATTTCTAGTTATTTTCTAGAATTTCTAGGGGGGAAGGTAGAAAAAGGCTGAGATGATTCCACCGTTTCGGAGCTAAACCGAAAATAATCCAATATTACACATAAAGAAACCGAGAAATGACATAAAACGAGCACAAAGGGGCTGAAATGAACCAGAAACATCCAGATTTTTCTTGAGAAAGTTGCTAATTTTAACGTTTGAGTGAGAATTAAAGCTCCTCATGAGACAAAGAGGGCATATTTACATTTGTTTTTATACTGATGTTCATTAATGTGCTTTGTCCCTATTCAAATAAATAAATAAATGAATAAATTTTGTTTGAGAGCAGCCTTTAGCTGCTTCTTTTTGGG